AAACCTACAAAGCACATATAATTGCCTGGTTATTACACTCTGAATACTAGCATACTTGAATTTTACCACTAAAAACTAGATATAAATTTGAAAAAAACTGTAGAAAGTATTCTATATATGTTTGAGTCATTTTTTCATCTAAAAACGTTTTGAACAAACGAAAAGACATACAATAGTGCATTTTGATGATCGAAGTCGAAAATGTTTTTTCAACTATTTTGACCCGTTACAGTCGGCTGTTGCAAAATTGCAACATCCCCAAATTTTATTGGTGGTATTTTATGAACAATAGTTCTTAATAATGCAATATACAATAGATCTAAAAAGTAAAATTTGGCACGAATGACTTGTGGTATTGAGGAAGTGACTGTACAGAAAAATTGTTTTTACCATTGAGTGGTTTCTCTAGGGTATTCTAGGATAGATTCGATCATGCTTTCAGCAGAAAGCCCTTTTTTGTATTAGAAAGCCTAAGTGCATTCTGAAATGTATTGCAGTAATTATCGAATGATCAAAATACTCTATATCTTTACTAAAAGTAAACCATTATGGAAACATTTGCTAAATGTTCCTAAATGGCAACATCCGACCGAAAAGGATTAAGTCGATGGTTAGATTGATTTAATCCATATGTAATTTATCAATGTCACAATAGATAATATTAATGAGTATAAAAATACACCCTAATCAAAAAGTGTTTGTTCTCAGGATGAATATTTGTTCAGTAAAATTGTAAATCGTTTTCAATAAAAGTATGTCTATTAAATGAGAACATAGAAAATTGTTTATTAATGTTTTAATAATAATATATAGTAAAATGAATAAATCTTATTGATAAATAAAAAATTTGTTCAATATAATAATTGAGTTTATTTAAATAAATTCAAGTTTAGTTTTTATTAAAAAAAAAAATTTCGCTTGAATATATTTTTTTATTTCGATTAAATATATCTCTATACATAAATACATTTTGTAAGCTTCGCTTCAATTTAAAAAACCAAACAAACTCATATTGATTTGTTACAATTTAGATGTTAACCTTCAATTATGATTAATATTTATTTAATTATTTATTATGATGATGGTGGAGTAATCTATAATAAGAAAATGTATATATATATATATATATATAAATTAAATATTAAAATGTTTGATNCGCTACCCAACTGTCCACAATCTTCTGACAAGCCTTTTGACGGAGCATCCCGATTTTCCTATCAAATTCGAAACGACTCTTTGGCGACAGATGAAGCGACTCGGTTTTAGTTACAAGCAAACGAACAAAGTGACTATTCCGCTCGACTGAGTATCGTTCGTTGCTCAACGAGCGGCCTGTTTTCGTCGTCTTGATGATCTTCGAAGGGATCAGGTATTTATTTATTAGCATGATGGAACATGGTGCAATGTTGGGGAAGAGAAGCGCTCAATTTGGGTTAATGAGGCAGGACAAGGACGACTCCGGAAGAGCGATGGCATGGAAAAGCGGTTGGCAATCTCGGCAATGATCAACGAAGAAGGTTTCCATAAGGAGAGTGTAGATATGTTTACATAAGACGTTGATCATACAATGGTGAGTTAAAGACACTTCCTTTGCAATCGAAAACGATTCTCTTGACAAACAATCTAGAACTCGAGCCATTTTGTTCAATGGGCCTCGGTCACTGCCTCGCAATTGCGCTTGAAACACGGGCCACGAGTTCGAATAGCGATCGTGATTGGCAGTGCAACTTGGCACAACCAATTGACGGAGGATTCAATACCATCGAAATGATCTTGACGAAAGTCGGCACTTCAGGGTTGACTCAATAACAGAGAAGTTACATTTGATGCAGCATTCAGAAATGTTGAACTACTTGAGCTGGAGTTTCAACACCTTCCACCCAAAAAGTACCTGACCAATGTTGCAGCTGCAGAATTCAACGTCGAGATTATCCGCCTTCCAATCAAGCATTGTGTACTGAATTCAATCGAACTATGCTGGTCACAACTGAAAAGCTACGTTCGCCGAAACAATACCTCATTTCGGCTGACCGATATCAGCACTCTTTCTCAACAGTACATCGCAGCACTAGACGATTGCACGGCCTTTATTGCTCATGCTCGCAAGGTGGAAATGACATTTCGAGAAGCCGACAAATATGTGGAAGAAACAGTCGATCCTGACATTGTCGATACCGATACCGAAGATGAAGAAGAGTTTTCGATGGACTTTAGTAATGAAGATGATATTTAATTTGGAAAAATAAAACTAAATGATTTATCTGCTGAAAAAATAGCCAATGATATATCACAGTAGGACAAATGGGCTATCTGAATCGATATCATTTTGAGGAATGAAGTAGCTAAGAATATCTCTAACGAAACTCTTGTGCTTGAAAAGTCAGAGATAATCACCTGAAATGCTTGCTGGATGAAATATTGCATGCTCCTGAGGGCAAAATGAGGCTTTTTGGGGGTTTCATGAGAGATGCTGGCGTTTTCTAACAGAACATCGTAGAAAGGCACGGTTTTTTTTAATGAAGACAACAGTCTAGCCTACTGTTTGCAATAATTAGGTGTCGAAATCCACCTCTTTAACACCCTCAGTGTTCGATTTTTTTTGTAAAAAAGCCTTCAAACTCCCTGAAGACACGTTTGAAAATTTTAGTTCCTAGCACATAATTTGCTTGCCCCATATAGGGCTATCGAACAAAAAAAACAGCAGGTCTCTAGCTATTATCGTTATCGAGATATTCGATCAACACTTGCCATCTCTTTTAATTTGAACTGGATATTAGTATCGCTTGAAATTACAGGCATGGGTGGACACGTGGGAGTAGCTACAGGAAGGAGACAGTTTTTTACATATTACAAGACTACTGAATGATTAAAGTGGTAGATTGCTTTCCAGCTATTTTTCGTTTATTACACATCATGTGGTTGTGAGTAAAGGTGTGACTGTTGCTATAGGGTGAGTGGGTATGGGATGTTGGTATTACGATCAAGAAGGCTGACACCTACATCCACATCCAGAGTTGTCAACGACTCCTTCATTTCCGTTTTCTTTTTCCACAATTCAATACTCTGTCAGAAAACTATCTGTTTGTTCCTAACAAACGATTTCAAAGATCTGTCGACGATCAGAAAGACGAATTATTCCAGCTTATTTGATGAAAAGTCAGTCTGTCAATTAATTAACTTCGAAAAGTGACAAATCGAATCAATTTGCGATTTTACATTAGTTAAAAGAAATCTTTTTTTAAATATCCTATGCGAATCGATATTTGTTCACATTCATTTGTAAATTATAGTTCGACTTAATGTGAGAATTAAAAATAATTTTATTTTCACGATATTAAATCTGAAGTCTTAGTTCAAAAAATTTTTGAGTGTTATTAAAATTAATGTTCAAAAAAAAAGATGAATCTGAAATTCCCTTTCATTTCAAGTGTAAATATTCAAACAAAAATGTTCGATACAATCAAGATAAGATTATGGAAGATAAGGTTTTATTCGCCACAGATATTTCATAGTCGCTTCTGTTTGAATATTTATATATATGTATTAGCATTCTATCTGTGATCCTGCACTAGACTCATATGAATGTGGAAGTAAGACAATAAGAACAAGTACATCGACACTTTTCATCGTTTCTTTTGTGTTAGTGGCTTCCGATTCGGTTTTATATTTTGTTGAAAATAAAATTTTATATTCCATAGTTCACTCTTATTTTAATGCAATATATTAGGCGATTTGAGATTGATCACAAAAGATACACTTAACCTATTTTTTGTATCATAAAACGCTGAATAAACAAAATAATTCTTGTCATATGAAAAAAACAAATAAAGTTCAGTCTTTGCTCGAATCAGAATAATAAATGTCAATCAATAGATATAATTATCATCATTCGTTCGGTTCCATAGAATTTTATTTCCTTCTTTCTGCTTCAGAAAATTTTTCTAAATTATTGAATCACTGGAAGAGAAATTTCAACTGATATCAATTATCTACGCTTGTGCCGATGATGATTAAATCAAATTAGAAAATTCTTGAATAAGAAATATGTGAATATATACGAACACAAGAGTATCATATATTTATAAATACAATCAACATATAGCTCTTATCCAATTTTTTTTGTCTAGAAACAAAAAAGAACATTTTAAAATATTAGTTCAGTCGGGAATATATAGCAAATAATGAATATAATTTTGTTCATAATTTGTCATAATAATTATCCAATTGTGGAATGTCTTCTTTTAATTCTTTATATTTTCGAATATTATTAATAAGATATAATGCAAAAGTAATGAGACAAATGTCGGATACTATTTCTCTTCAATAGAAAGGTACTGAACGAAGTGTTTTACCAAACGATAGGACATTTTTTTCACTTTCAAATCGTATATAACTTATTTTTAGATTACACTCATAAACGCAGCGACGCAGCAGAAAAGAGAAGCACCTTTAAAAAGCATCCACACTTTTTCTATAAATGGCGTACAAAATGTCTATCCTTATATCTTTTCGATAAATAGGTTCTGAAACGAATATTTTTTTTTATCAATTCATAGGATTTTTTCTGTTTCGAACAGTGTACGATTTATACTTGTCACATATTAGTAAGTAAAACGAGACGAGGAAAAAGAGAAACATCTGCACAATAAATTTATAATTTTTAAATGAATTTGTTAAAAATATCTTGTAAACAACAATTGATTACAGCTAACTGCGGTTTTACAAGATGTTTTTCATGATTTCATATAAAAGTTATAAATTTATGGCGCGAATGTTTCTCCTTTGTGTAGTGTCGTTTTTGTTTATGAAAATGTGACAAAAATTAGTTATATACGATTCGAAAGAAGAGAAAAAGCCCTATATTTTAGTGAAACAAGGTTTGCTCAGTACTTTTCAATTTAAGAGAAATAGGGTCCGACATTTGTCCCATTACTTTTGCATCATACGTTAATTTGTCGAATTTTAGTTGAATCATCAAATGGATCTTGATTTATAACTTCCTAATCATCAAATAGATATTGTAGAAATGCTTGGCCACCTGTATTTGAACGAAGATCAGCAGTAAAAGCTATGAAAGTAAAATAAATATAAACAAGCACAATCGAAATTACTCTCTTATCACACGATTCATTGACTGATAAATAAGCTTTAACAACAAACATTGGTGCTGCAGTTACTTGATGTTCTTCAAAAACATGGCCATGAAGACGATTTAATGCATCATAAATACTACCAAAAGTAACTTTCGGACATTAAATACAATTATTACAACTCTATGGAAATGAAAATTTGTTTTTTTTTAAACATACCTGCATTTCACATAAATAAACTGGTCCAAAAAGTCGTGGTTTAGCTGTAAATATGAATGCATAAAATACACGACAGGTTGCTGAAATGAACACCACGAACATTTTCTTCAGCAAGTCCACCCTCTTTTGTAATCCATTGAAATAACAGCAACACTATTATCTTTTATTTCATTTAAATATTGTACACCTTTAGTACAATCAATCAAAAGATTTTGTTCAGTTCCTTGAGGTTCTAAACACCAAAGTTTACGTATTTCATTGACATAATAGTCATATTTTTCATTTATATTAAGTAGTACCAATAAACATATTTTTTCGAATTCTTTAGATACAGTTTCACGATATGATACGGCGGGTTCAGAAACTTTAATTGAAATACAAGCATGATCTTCTTCAAGATCTTCCAAACAAATTTCTAGATGTAATTCAGCATTACCGGATATGATATGCTGACCAGATTCTTCGATAGTACACTTCAATAGAAAAAAAGAATTCAATATACATTGGCATCATACATAATAATTTTAAGAAATCTTACTTGAGCCTTAGGATCTAGTTCAGTTAAACATTTCAAACCTGCGGGCTAATCTTGATAAATCAGTTGGATCTTTTGGTTGAACAGCAATACACATGACAGAACTAACATTAAATTTTATTATCTAAAAAATATATAAATAGTTTTCATAGAACTGCAACAAAAAAGAACATAATCGAAGATTGTATGTATTTTCAAATGTTGTTATTGTAACAGTTTTATCAAATATTTATCAACATCAACAAGACCACAAATATTTTCACATCGTACATCTTCAATTGGTTCATTAGAACAACCCAACATAAAAATACAATTATCATAAATTTCCACAGAAAGAGTTTTAGAAAAGTCCGTCAGTAAAAACAATGTGAATAAATCTTGAACAATTGACCTAAGGTGCTTGATTTTTTACTTGTTTCATTGGCACCGTCCTATGTTTTATATCGATGTCGCTTGTTATTTCAATTTAACTTTTGATTAGCGTCTTGAAAACATCGGCTTCCACGGTTTTTCATAGAAATTTACAAAGTAATGCACTTTATTGTTAAGATGCTACGAACTCATTTTCATCAACCATTTACTGAGATCTATTATAATTTATAATCCTTTTGAAAAAAGAAACATTTCGAGCAATTAGAACACTTGATATCGATACACTTTCACTAATATCTTGAGCTTTGTCAAATTTTTTTCTTTCAGTTCTGTAGAACGTCTAGCATGTGGTTGGTATGCTAAAGTATCATCTAAGGTGATTCAAAGTTGGACTTGAATAAAGCTAAAGAAGAGTCCCCCAAACCCAGATGAGGCAATCAGTTTCTTTTGACTTTTGGTTTTTCATCACTACTACAGCTCTGAAATGACTCATGCCAAATGCCATGTAAATAAGCGATCTTTGTTGTTAATCGATACTTTTGTTAAATCCAACTTTGGAAACTTCTAGCAGAAAAACTCGTACTACTACGTACTATTTTATTTTATACTAAATTTCACTAATCATACATTCCAAAGATGCTTAAAGCATAAGTCCTAGACTCGTCACACCGTTGAATTTCCTCAAAATCAATTTGTACATAAAAAAGATGGAGAATTGCCCTCTTTTCTCTGATATGGTGTCTTCAATTCAAGTGAAGCTTTTTCACATTTCAAAAAAATACTTGCGCCACTGATTTTTAGTAGGTTTTGCAAAAGAATACGTACTTTTTAAAATCATTGCGTTCAATCGGATGTATTGCGGTTGAGAAAGTGGGGCAATTTGCAGTCTTTGCAAACCGAATATCTCCTAGAAACAAGCATCTAAGAATTTTCAGTCTAGCACACCTTTTGTTGTATTCATCAAGATCTATTTACCGCGAGTGTTTCAATTTCTTCTGATGAATCGTTCTCTAGAAAACCATCAAAGGAGAAGAAATTTCCTTCAAAGGAAACAAAAGTTATACATGCAAATCGCTCGAATTGTTGAAGAACTATTCGCATTTTTCATTTCAATGGACTTTTGAAACATCCTATTGAAATACAAAAATAACTTTACATACCGTTGAATATTTTTAACATAAATATTTTGTTTTCTGCTCTAAACGACTTCCATCCGATATTGGTACCATTTTTTAAATATAGATCATCAATAAACCATTTGGATCACATTGTTTAGTACTCGAAAATACTTTATCATCTCGCGAACCTAAATAAATATATGTCATATATTAAGATAATATTAATTTTTTCTATAAACATATCTTCATAAATTAGTTAAGCACGACCCTTTTGTGCAACAAAGGGTGATGGCAAATGTATAGCAATCATTGTAAGAAGAACATCTCCCTCTGGTAACCATTGTTTCATAACAAGTTTCAAAAGTAGCTTATCAACTTATTCTAATTTATCAGATTTTCATCTTGTAATTTAATATTTAATTTTTCAAGTAATTTGTGTATATGCATCTTTTCTACGATATATAACAGTTTTGAAAACTTTGACAATAAAACCACGAACAAATTGGCAAAAATCCCGAACATAACCTAATATATTATTCAACAATGATTTATTTTCGTTTTTGTTTCTTTTTAGAAATAATTTATCTTCTTCACCAGTTTTTCACCATTTCTTTTCTGTTGGTGAAAAAAAAGCTATTGCCCATAACTGTGTCATCAACTTATCAGATACTATGTCAAACTTCGATGCATACATTTCGGCAAATTCTTTCAATGTAAAAGCCCAACTATGAAGACCAGAACCGAAACCAACTCTACTTTTTCGTTGAATCAACCTTAAATAATAATTTCATTTAATCGAAATATAACAAACTGAAAACATATCGTTTACGTCTTCGTTTACAAGAATATTTTTTACTTATCGATAGAGTTGCAACACTGTATCCGCAAAATACATTTCCTTGATCTATGAATTTTCCATTATACTTAAAGACTAAGGCTTCTCACCTGTCAATCCCCCATTGGATCATTATCATCACCGTAAGTAGCTATGATGACATTGATTCTTTCAACAATACGTTGAAATATTTTTGAAAAAACCTTCTTGTTTAAGTTGTAGTACAAGTACAGCACGATCTACTTTATTCATAAATAAAAAAGCAACGGTAACTTCTGATGAAAAATTAACGTGACCCGATGAATCAATAAGATTAATAAAAAATTGAGATACATTAGGTTTATGTTCTTGTTTAATGAATTCTAAATCTTTATCAGGTAATTCATAATAAAGTCAAATAGATGTACATGTATATATGAATTTCTATGATGAAAACCCAGAAAAAGCTTTTTCTTTTAAATCCTACGTTGATTGAATTGCAATAGATCGTTCTTGTTCATCTTTTTCTGTATCTGTAAAACGCATTTCATTAGCATCCTGTGAAGCAATAATACCAGCTTTGCATACAAGCGAAGCAGTTAATGTTGATTTTCCATGTTCAACATGAGCAATGATGGACATATTTCGGATATTCTTATTTTTGTTCATCAAGCTAAGACTTTTATCAACAGTCAAGCTAACCTATGAGAAAAATTAATCATCTGACTTATGTTTTTATTTTTGTTTAATAGAACTCACTATTGATAGGTTATTTTTAGTTAGAGTATTCAAATAAGATTGTATAAATTTTTTGGTCCAGTAAACAAATTTGAGCAATTAAATCTATAAATAATGAATTTAGAAAAGGTCTAAAGAATTCAGTAGCTGTTAGCTTGGATATACCCTAGTTTGAACCAAAGAGATGTCGAAAGCGAAAGCGGAGAACGAAAATGTGACTGTGAGATTTTCAATGAGGCTGAGAGCAAAGACAGATATACAAAATAAGCAAGAACTGATAGAATCTTATGGATACTTGCAGGTCTAGCTACATCTTAGTAGAACTACTATGCTTTTAATCAACCAAGATATATTTAAAATAGATCTCACAGATAAACCTTTTTCATGAAAAAATATCAAAACGTTGGATTATTTAGTGAATCATGTGTCTCATGAACTGAATATTATTGGATTAATTAACCTCACTAGTATAAATAAAGAAAAATCTTCTGTTGCCATACTATAGAATGTAATAGCATGAAGTAAAAAAAATTGAAACCAAAGGAGTTATTCATATTCAGAAAATTTAAAAGAATAAATAGCGTAACCAGAAGAGAATAGAAAAATAATTGTTATGGGAAAGTGTCGCATGCAACAATGTCAGCGAATCTGAACCTTGCCGTGGCAAGATTTTCAGTTT